AATATTTTTCCTATAGTTCGTTTTTCTTTGTCATTTCAATTAAAAAGTTTATCATTTTAGCATTTGGGAAAGATTTGAAATTAAAAGCTGGCAAAATGATGAATGTCTTAGTATGTATATAATTAAAACAATACCACACGCAGTTGTTGTTCTTGTATCAGAAATGGAACGAGTGAGGGCAACGAACGAGGGAGATCTCTTGTACGTCAACAACTCGTGCGTAAATACCGTACGTGCGCACTTCCCATGAAGAATTCTAGATGTATTAATGAAGGAAACCCGTGAACCAGTGCTCTTAAAAAGAAATTCAGCCCAAATTAACTGCGAGGATTCCCAGTTTAGTCTTTAAACCAACTTTTGCTATATTCGCGTAAAAAACTTAACTGAAAACGAACTTTCTTCCCGATTGAAAATCGCAAGTCTTGTAGTCTGGGTGGAGTGGGTTCTGTGTATCTGGTCTGGCGCGAAAACAACGCGAGTCAAGATACACCTTAGGCCGAGCTGTTCGATTTATCATGCGAAAGCAGTACGAACACAACTCTGGAACGAAACTCATTCCGCAATGAAAGTCAATCTTGTGTCGTATAAACAGCCCCTTAGTCTCAAACAAAAACGGAAAAAAGAAACTGAAGGTCGGCGTTTTCTGGTGGATCCCAGACTCTAGATTAAAATATATGTGCAGGTCCCAGGTGCTCTTTATGAAATAAAATGTATGTATGTTCAATTAAAAACACTCTGAGTTGTAATAAATGAAAACAGGGCGATTCCACTTTAATAGTTTATTAACTTCACATACAAAATAATTATTGTAGTTCTTACTTTTGAAACGAGTGAAATGTCCGCCATCTTTTTTTCACAAGCAAAACAACTCAACCTCATCCCCACACCCACAAGGGGAAAAAACCCGACATGTAGTTGATCCCTAAATTCCTAGCGAGCGGGTCTGATAAGTAAATAAACAGCAGAAAAAAAAAATGAATAAATAAATAACCATGGATGAAGATCCTGCTGGTTGTCAAAGTTGGATCTCAAGAAAAGAGATCTAATCAGCTAAAATATATTCAGAGCAAAATAAAAAGAAAAAAAAGAGAAGTCAAAGACTATAGCAAAGCTGATAACAACGTGTACCATACCAGCCTTCTTCAGGTTTACAGAAAAAATGGTAAGGAACTCTTAAACAAGAGGGAGTGGTTACCCAGGGGACGAATTATCTGTTGCGCACTGTTAATGAGTTTTCCGTGCCAGCTTATTTCTTTTGAAATAATCAAAAACTGAACAGATGTGTGTAGTTGTGACGATCTAGAGGTCGCGTCTTGTTCGGTTTTCATTCAAAGCGTTCCACTTGCTGTCAGAATTGTGCGCTTAGGATTACATAATCAGTTTTCTTGAGGTATGTTTTTCACTCAGGTTTTTTCACTTAGCTAAGTTGCGTAATGAGCCTTTGATATTTTTTCCGGCTCGACCAAGATAATGAAGAACTGAAAAAGTGACGATGGCCCGATGAATCAATTTTTTCAAGTCCTTTCTTTACGAACTGTTCAATACACTCGAGGGGTTTTGCTCCCGGAGCATGCTCCAGGGGCACGCTCCGGGAGCAAAGCTCCTCCAACGATTTCATGGGTATACTTCATCCTCGGGAGCAGAATTTCCACCCCGCAAAATGCTCCACGATATTTAACCGGTTAAATACTTGGGAGCAAGCTCCCGGGGCAAATAACGCTCCCTCGTGTGTACTGACACGTACAAAATGATCCTGGAGCCCCTCGTTTGTATCGGCCTATGCCTTGTTGTCGGAGTGCTGTGTACGATCATACTAAGCTAGCGAAGGAAGACGACAAGTATAATACGGTGTGAAGGTAATTTTGTTCTCATTTCAGTTTTCATTTCCCGATTTTTCTTTTCTCATCGTCTTTAAAAGATTATGTTCTAAAAGTGATTATTACTGCGTCGATAAGTTTATTTGTTTTGACTTTTTGGCTACTTGTTTACAAAACAAAGCACTCGCACGCTGTCGGCTTCTTCAACCGATCACGAAATATTTCAGCTCCATTTGTTAATTCGCATAATTTCACACAGAGTTCGATTCTTCATTGTCAAGAGAAAAATTGCTGGTAAATGTTGAAGTGAGTCACTGAGAGAGATCGCTCTCGTAAGCCGCCAGTATAACAATTATACACATGTACGTGATCGCAGAAAAGAGAATTGTCACAATTTGCATCTACAGATGACAAGGGTTAGAGTTGACTTAAACTTAAATTATCAGAAAACTGTTTAAATTTTAGCATCATTAATAGCTATAGCGCCCTAAGATGACTTTTATAACACCTGGGCCATTATCACAAAGACGATCTGAAGTGTTTATAAATAGAAAAAACAAACTTTCTTCCGTTCAATTAGTCGGAATAAAAGCTCGCATTATGGAGCGTATAATTTCCGTATCAAATAAAAACTAGAGAATTCAGTGTGATGAAGTTGCCATCGAAATACTGTCACTGAAACTACTGCTATGTAAGGTAAGTAGAGCAGTGTGGAAAGGAAAAACGAATTTGCGGCTTTCGGGATTTCAGAAAAGTCAATGCAAAAAAAATTAAAAGTAAGTTATTTCACTTCAAGCATTTACAAATATGCAATACAAAAATACTAAGCCAAACATTCCAGTTGGAATGAGCAAGAATTAATCTTTAAGTGCTTCTGACTGAAGAAGAGGGTCACCCATGTCAATCCATCTTCTTTGTCTCCGTGTTGCCTCATTTTTTTTAATTATTCCTTAGGAAATTTTCCTGTAATATTCATCGTTGAAAAAGGCAGCTGATGAAAGCAACTTTTCAGAAACAACCAATAACAGAGCGTCTTCATTCCGGCACCTGCCGATTAGCATAAGACCTAAGGACTCTGAATTCTGGATCATTACGAACTAGCGCCCTTCCGAAGGACTTTAATTCAAGAGAGGCAGTTATTGAAATATTTGAAGGTAAAATGTTTACCTTAAACCATAACGTTTAGTTTCCGAAACGAATGTTTTCTAGCTAAATCAGCATAGTTGGTGTTGGGTTGGAGGGGATGGAGCATAGGTAGCCCAAGCTCACTATGAGAGCCCTGAACAACATTATCCTA